CAGCCATTTCACTGCTTTGCAGATGGATCAAATCAAAGAAAAGATGGGCATTGAGAAAGGATAAGTTTCAAACTGGCAAACACAGAAAAGTGAAAGGCCTCCCAAAGCATCTAAATCCTCTTTATCATCCACATACACTCACTTTCAGAAGGATGTGAGATGACAAAAAAAAAATAGATACTGACCAGATGTGTTAAGAAATAATTTGGAACTGCTCCAAATTACTAAAAAGCAATTGGAACAAAAATAATTTTTTTTTCTTTCCAGAATGAAAGAGACTTTTGAAAAATTAATGGTTGCAGAGACGAAGGCTAATGACTAATTTAACATAGGAAAATGTGTGCCCGCAAGTGCACAGTTTGAATATTTTTGAGATATAAGTGTGTAGACTTAAACAGCCCTATTCCTGCTCCCTCACTAAATAATGGAACTGATTTGGGTTAAAATATTAACATTTGGGAAGAGGGATGGTATTTTTCTTATACAGGTCATTTTCCCATTCTAGCCTATCATGCAGCCGCCATGCACTCCCCAGATGAGGGAAGAGCAGAAACATGAAGGAACATCAAAGTTGGAGCTGTTTAAAGTGGCACTACTGCCAAAAGAAACAAACTAAAATTGAAGGATTTTCTTTCTCCATCTCACCTCTTCACTAGCCTACCTAATTCTACTTTTTTTTTTTATTCCCAAGTGCAAGTTCAGCTCTGGGGAGACCTTATAGCAGCCTTCCAGTACCTGAAGGGGGCCTCCAGCAAAGCTGGGGAGGGACTGTTCACAAGGGCGTGTAGTGATAGAATGAGGGGCAATGGTGCTAAACTAGAGCAGGGCAGATTTAGATTAAACATTAGGAAGCTCTTTACTATGAGGGTGGTGAAACACTGGCACAGGTTGCCCAGAGAGGTGGTACAGGCCCCATCCCTGGAGATATTCAAGGTCAGACTTGATGGGGCTCTGAGCAACCTGATCTGGTGACGTTGTCCCTGCTCATTGCAGGGGTTGGACTGGATGAGCTTTAAAGGTCCCCTCGAATCCAACACATTCCATGATTCTATGTAAGGTGCTCAAGTTCATTTTATCTTTACACCAAATTATTATTAGCTAGCTGAACAGTCAAGCTGTTACTCTCAGTTACAGTCATGGGCTTTGAAGAAACTCTGAGAGAGATCCCTAGAGAATTTCTTTGGTGGGTAAAGATCATTACTAAAGTACACCCCTAAACCAAAATAAATGTACAATTCAGTAGGTTGTGTGGGAGACGAAGTAAAGCTCAAGTCTTGCAAGAACAGATGTGAGAAACTCTTCATGCTCATATGAAGCACATCTCCAGCACAAACAAATCATTAGTTTGTGTTGTGAAGGGTTTTACTACTAGTAGGATGCACCAGAAGATCCCAGGAGGAACAGAAACGTGTGTAGTAGCTGGGCAGTTTTTAGTAGATGCTGCCTAAGAACTGTGATAATATCAGCAGGTGATCTACTTCCTGGGCCTCTCAGCTCCTCTTCAAACCAGAATTCACTCTCCTCTCTGAAAAGCATAAGTTCTGAATCCTGAAGAATGCTGTTAAAGGCTTGTCAAGGCCCATGTTGCACTGAGAGCAGGGTCTGTCTGCCACTGTTCAAACTTGCAGTTTGAAAAGACAGACAATCTTGAAATTTGAAATAAGTGACTGTCCAAAAAGATGGAAAGTAGAATTTTTACATACATCTCTGCTTAGGTCCAAATACCATTAACTTCTTTCCAGTTTGGAGTAATAAAAACTGACCGAAACTCCCTCCTTTATCACTTCCTCAATTTCAATTGTTTTTAGCTGAAGAAGAGAGGAATGAGACAAGCAGATAAAACTCAGCAGG